ACCAGTCCTCAGAGAAGGACACCATGTTTGGAAAAGTGGAGTGAGTGACAGCACAGGAGAGAAAGACCCCGGGTGAGATGATTTGGCACAATAGGCTGGAGGCAGTGAGATTGGCTCGGGATAGGACAGAGTTCTCAGAGCTGTCGTGCATAGGGTTGCATGAGTTATAGTCAACTTGAAGACACATTACAACAACAACAATTTTATAGATACAAAGTACCCTAATTCTGACTGGGAGGTCTTGGGTGGAGGCTAATAGTACAAGACTGAGACATAAAATAGAATGTAAAAACCTAATTTTTAATTATTTCAAGATTTGTGTAATTTGGAAAAGCTATTCAAATAATCCCTTGGGTGGGCTCTGCCTCAAAGCATGCTGGGACCCAAGCAATTCAGGCCAGAAGGAAGGAGGAGAAAAGCCAGTGCCTGAGAGAATCTGGCTTTGCCTTAGAGCACGCGTTAGCATGGGCCTGCGCGGAGGTCAGCTGCCTGGGTTAACGCACGGGTGCTCAAAGTTGAAGGAGAGGTTAAAGCAGCACTCAGCGCAGTTCCTGTTACAAAAAGCCTCCTGCAGGGGCTTGCCATACCTGACAGTCATCTGCAAAGACTCTCCCATCAGATAGCACACACGAGAGCCTGCAGAGTGGAGGGAGGTGGAGAAAAACTGGTCGAACTGGCTGTCTAGTCAAACTGGTGTGTCCATGGCCAAGTGCTCTCATTCAGGGAATCTAGCCAGTGCGTCTAAAATGTTCCCTTTATCAGCATCATTTTTCCACATCTAAGAATTTTTTAGAGCTTTGACTTAAACTTAGTCTACACTTTGAAATAGCCAGCAAAATTATTTTTATAAAAAAAAAAACATTACAGGCCCTCCAGGTGGGGTGGCCGGGCGCGCGCTAGAGCACTAGCCGGCTTGTGGCCACGTTCATGCGTCTTGAGGGCCAGCTTTGCGGGTCTCTCTTTGCCGCGGTGTAGCGGGAGTAAGGTGCAAGCTGAGACCATCAGAATCATGGCAGGACAGGCCTTTAGAAGGTTCCTTCCCCTCTTTGACCGAGTATTGGTGGAACGGAGTGCAGCTGAAACTGTAACCAAAGGAGGCATTCTGGTTCCAGAAAAAATCTCAAGGAAAAGTATTGCAAACAACAGCAGTAAGCTGTTGGATCCGGATCTAAAGAAAAGGGTGGAGAAATTCAGCCAGTCAGTGTGAAAGCTGGAGACAAAGTTTTTCTTCCAGAATATAGAGGCACCAAAGTAGTTAAAGATTACAAGGATTATTTCTTAGTTAGAGATGGTGACATTCTTGGAAAGTGTGTGGACTGAAATAAATCACTATTGAAATAGCATCATGTGAAGCTTCCCATTCCACTGAAGTTCATCTGAAATCTTCCATCATGTAAATAATCTCTGTCTCTTTTGTAATAAACTAACGATATCCAAACTTAAAAAAAAAATCATCTCTTTTAACCTAATGTTAATTAGAATAAAATGAAGAAGTAGTTTCCTTACAGGGAGCACTGGTGGCCTAGTGGTAAGAAACTGTTCTGTAATCTCGAGGGCATGTGGTTCAAGTCCACCAGCTGTCTATCAGCTGCTCTGCAGGTGAATCATGGGCAATCTCCTCCTATGCTGCTCCCTGGAGTCAAGGATTCTGAGGCTTCATCTGACATACTTTGGGCATGTTGCAAGGAGGGACTGGTCCTTGGAGAGGGACATCATGTTTGGGAGAGTGGAGGGACGGCGCAGGAGAGGAAGACCCACGATGAGATGGATCGAGTCTGTGAGTGGAGTGGTGGGAATGAGTGTGTTTGAGACGGCGAGGTAGGCACAGGATAGAATGGCATTTAGGACTCTTGTACACGGGGTCGCTATGAGTCGCAAACAACTTGATGGCACATAACAACAATTAACTTCCTCTAAAAACCTGTTCCAGGGGCAGCTATAAATGGGTCTGACACGGTGATAAACAACAACAGTTTCTGTGTGCTCATAAATGCTTGTACTTAGCCAGTTCTGCAGTCTTGGAATCCTATTTTGAAAGTAGCACCAATTCTCCTCTCTGTAGGAATAAAACATACCGGCTGGAATGAGAGACAAATCCTGCAACCAGCAATTACAGTTGACCATGTTGAAATCTTGAGGAATGTCTGAGGAATACCAAGAATATATGAAATAAGGGTATTTTTTTTAATGCCATGGCATCTGGGATCCCCAGCATAAGCTCTATCTATCCACAAGTTGGTATCAAGCCTCAGACTCCGCTAAGTTGTGTTTTGTTTCTTTCTTTGTTTAACTTGTAGAGCTTTTCTCCATGTTTAACATCTGTTTTATTTCCACCTCGATGCAAACATTTTCAAATATTTCTAGAGCCGAATTGGACAGATGCACCACACAAAGAGAGTGGAGGAAAGAAAGAACAGACCCAAGAAACGCCTTCCCTCAGAGGCATATTAATTCCAAGAGCTCAGACTTGACTTTGCAATTTTCCAAACTAGCCTCTGTTTCCAATGGCAACAGTGAAATACAACCAGCAGAGTGTTTCACGTATAGATCGCTCTTGCCAGTAGGTTGCATAATTAAATTGAATGTGCTTAATCTCTTTTAAAGCTCAAACACGAAAAGATCTCATTTGATGAGAGGGAAAGAAAAGCCATGCTAAGTATTTGAGACCAAAGCATTTGTGATTTCTGACATCAATGTAACCTAATTTCCTTCCCGGTTTCATTTCAGAGGTTCCACAGTGAAATCACATCTAGAAGGAAGATTCGCAGAAAAATTTGTTGTGGTTACTTCTTACAATCAAAGCCAGAATGAAAAGGATTACATCATATTACCTCTCATTAAACGGTTAGGAAAAGAAAACAACTTGATCTCAGTCAACAAACCTAAGGGCTGATGAAGCCAAGGTACAAGGTTTGGCTTAACAGGGAGACTGTTAGACCAAGTCATGCTCCAGTGAACTTGCAACCAGTAAGGAAAACATCGAGTGGTTAAAAATAATAATAAATCTTCCAGTGACTACTTTCTAAGTCTTAAAATTGCCAGGCAAAAGCCCCAAAAGATGAGAAAGAAATTACTCTGTGCCCACAGGATCAGAGACTTCTTAGAAAGAAATGGCATTTGGGCAGAGCCTAATGTCAATGAGCACATGCACTGAGGCCAGAAGCCCTGTGTTCCTTCTGTCCAGCACTTCGCCCGGACAAAAATGCCTCTAAAGAAACAAAGTTCTTGGTGAGCTCTGGTGGCCTAATGGTAAGAGGCTGCATTGCAATCCCAGAGATGCGCAGTTCAAATCCACCAGACGCTCTGCTGAAGAAGGAGGAACAATCACCTCCTGTACCAGTCAGATTCGATTTGACGGTACACACATTAAAAAAAAGAAAGAAAATAAAAAATAAAGTCCTTATTTTAAAAACAGCAAGCTGTTTTAAGCCCCTGAGCTTCTGTCCACTAAGGACTTTATTTTTTCCAAATACATTTAAGTACCAGAATTGGTTCTAGCAAGGAACTCAAACGCGCACGAGTTGACAAGTCAGTTCTCACCCTTAAAGATGAGAGGTTTGTTTGTTTTCATTGTCACAGTCACATTGCTGTTGTTAGGTACAGTCAAGTCAACTACAGTTCCCAGCAACACAACGGTGGAGCAGCACAGCAAAACTGCTCGGGCCTCAGCTTCAGTGCTATGCCCGAGCCCACTGTGATAACTGTCAATCCATCTTGTTGAGGGTGGTTTTTGTTTTTCCACTTTTCCCCCAGACTCTTTACTATGCATCATGTCTTTGCTCCAAACTCAAAAGTATGGTGGTTTGGATGGTATATTGTTAATTAAGGATGTTTTTCACTACAGGTAGAAAAATCTACAGTAAAAACTACAGGTTTTAATAAGGGTCAAAAAGTTCTTTTAAATCTTCACATGTCAAGTTATTATCTATGCCTACTATTTCAGCCCTCCAAACAAATATGTAACTGTTGTTTCTAAGAAATAGCTGTTCTTCAACACCCCTGAGTGTGCAGTCACACGGAGGCTTCCTAAGAAAGAGGAATAAAAAGTCTTTACCCAGACGCTCTTACTGTCATGAAACTCTGCAAGTCCGAAGAAAGTGATCTGATGTGTTCCCAGCATAAAGTCTGTGTTCATTTCATTACCGAAGTTCGGGATTGGCCTACTGACCTGGAGGTGACACTTCTCTGTCAGTTTGAATCTGTTGTTGTTGTTGTTATGTACTGTTGAGTCGCCTGCGACTCATAGCGACCCTATGTACAACAGCCCTAAACTCCGCTCTGTCCTGTGCCAATCGCACTGTCTCTGACACTCCCATCCCGATTATCCCAGTCACTGAATCAATCCACCTCATAGAGGGCCTTCCTCTCCTGCGCTGTCCCTCCACCCTCCCAAGCATGATGTCCCTCTCCAAGGACCGGTCTCTCCTCACAACATGTCCAAAGTATGTTAGACGGAGCCTCAGAATCCTTGCCTCCAAGGAGTCACCCGGTTTAACCCTTTCCAGGACAAATCTGTTTGTTTTCCTAGCAGTCCATGGTATTCTCAATCTACTAGTAGCTTTAGTGGAAGAAAACTCTACTGTAATTTACAAACAGAAAACCTCTGCATAGTGCCACTGGTGTAGAATGGGACTGACATCAAGGGCTGGTGTAAGACTGAGGAAAACTGGATAAATTATGTATACTGCATTGAAACAGATGATGGAGAGAACAGGTTAAAAGTAATATATGATAGGGTATTATGGTTATCTCAAGGGTCCAGAATGAAGATTACATAGTGGAGTGTACTCAGGATTAGAGCGGGAGGAGAGGGACTGGGGGGGGGGGACTTTGTATAACAATGAAAGACTTTTACTTTTCTTTTTTTTAAATTTTATTAGTTTTAATGAACATTTACAGAGATTTTGGGTTTTCATTCATTCATTGTTGCACTGTTTTCTTCTTTTACTTTTCAAAGAGAAGAGCGAACTTGAGGGGGGAGGGGTGGACGGGGAGAAAATGCAACAATGAGTGAATGGAAATCCAAAATCTCTATAAATGTCATTAAAGTTAATAAAATATTTTTTTAAAAAAGAAAGTAAACCTGCTGTAGGGTCAGCTGCGAGTCAGCTCCAATTCAATAGCAATGAGTTTGAATAGATTTGCACCCACCCAGCTCCTCAGCGTCGTCTCATCTGCACCCACCCAGCTCGGTCTGCACCTGTGCCAACCTGGACCTACTGGGAGCCCAACCTCCTGGGAGGTAGAGAGAAAATGATAGGATAGAAATGGTGGGGGGTTTGAGCCTTCCTATGAGGAGTTAGTTAGGGAGAGTTGTTTCCAGTGCAGTATTCATTATCTAGCCACTCTTTTCCTATTCACCTCCTAACCCTCCATGTCAGTCCTACATTGTAACAGTGGTGTTATGCAGTATTTGTCCTTTTGTGACTGAAATATTTCACTGATAATAATGTCCTCCAGTGTCACTCGTGCTGTGAAATATTATACTAGTTCATTGTTTTTCAATGTTGAATTGTATTCCACTGTATTGACTACCCTATTATTTTTCTATCCATCTGTTTGTTGATGGGTACTTGGATTGCTCCCATCTCTTTGCTATTGCAAGTAATGCGGCAATAAACTTGAGTATGCATACATCTGTTTGGATCGTAATTCTGGTTTCTTTAGGGTGTATTTCCAGGAGTGGAATTGCTGCGCCAAATGATATTTCTATTTCCAACTTTTTTAAGAAAGTGCCAGCCAGCCATGAATAAAGGTTCAATCACTCTACAACCTTGTCAGAATTTGCTGTTCGCTGCTCTGTTGAACTTTGCTGTTGTTGCTGGGGTAGAATTATATCTCCTAGTTGTTTTGATTTGCATCTCTCTGATAGCTAGGATATTTTAGGATCTTTTCATATATTTGTTTGCTATGTGAATGTCTTCTTTGGTGAAGTAAAACTAAAGACAATAAACTTCATCAAAGAAAAGTTTGGAAGAACTCTAGGAGCCCTAATCCACAGAGTGAACAGTCTTCCGAGCATAATGAAACACCTAGAACCAGAAGAAAACAAAATAGAGGAATGGGACCAATTAGTGCTGTTAAACATTTTTTTAAAGCTT